TTTTTGAGAGAGAGACAGAGAGACAAATCACGACCGGGGGAGGGGCAGAGAGAGAGGGAGACACAGAATCTGAAGCAGGCTCCAGGCTCTGAGCTCAAACCCATGAACCACGAGGTCACGACCTGAGCCAAAGTCAGATGTTCAACGAACTGAGCCCCCCAGGTGCCCCACAGATGCATATTTTAATAATAAAATATAATTTTAAAATATTGGAAAATGAGATAGTAGCAAATACTAACTATAAAAAAGGGAGGGAGAAAATAGATGGCTGGATTAAAAGAAAAACTTTCAGGCAAAATCTGAAATTCTCAAATAATTTTCACTGTTTTGTTAAAAATACAGTAACATTTTTTGGGACAATCAGAGTTTCAATTTTATATGTTCAAAGTTTATATGTTATCAAAGTTATCAAAATAGCACAATTCTAATGTCATGTCAAGGCTTTGATTCATAAAAAAATCTAATTAAATATCCTTTCAGTGTCACAGTTCTTTTTTTTTTTTTTTTTAAATTTTTTTTTTTTCAACGTTTATTTATTTTTGGGACAGAGAGAGACAGAGCATGAACGGGGGAGGGGCAGAGAGAGAGGGAGACACAGAATCGGAAACAGGGTCCAGGCTCTGAGCCATCGGCCCAGAGCCTGACGCGGGGCTCGAACTCACGGACCGCGAGATCGTGACCTGGCTGAAGTCGGACGCTCAACGGACTGCGCCACCCAGGCGCCCCATTGTCACAGTTCTAAAAATAGCACTTGGCACCACTGTGTTTAATCAATGGAGTTGCCAGTATTTTGATATACACCCTGACCAAAATGTTGCTTTCTTTAGCCAATTTAATGTGGTTATTAAATCCTTGTCTCCTTGTACTTTGCTTTCTTTTCCTCCCCTTCCCAAGTATATCCTTTGTAACAAGTATTTTCCATCTACACAATTCACATGAAGACAGTGTTGGTCTGTCTTGAGGGACAAAATTAACACTCATCTTCCAGGGTAATTATGTTGAATTAGCTTTTCACTGTATGCAATTACAGTGTTCAGAAGACATGTGACCTGAACACATATACAAATCCATGTAGCAATGAACTATCTAAGGTGGTTCTATAAATGTACTCAACAGGATTAATTTGAGATATATCCCTCATGTTATAGAGCAGTTAACCTTACCAGAGGCTGTAAAAGAATACAAGGGTTGATAAAAAGTTCCCAGGGCACATATAAGAAAAATGAATCCTGCCTCTTAGAAAACAAATCACAAGCCAACAAAATCTCATTAGTCAGCAACTTGAATTTTCACATAAGACTAGTAGCAACACCCATCAAGTCACAAAAAGGAATGGATGCATTTTCAGACATGGTTTCCAGAGGGAAGGCTAGGACTAAATCCAGGCTCTCAGAGAGTGCTTTTTTAGACAGTGAACACAACTATACGTATTGCCTCCTGGGGATCTTTACTAGGAGCTGTATCCCTCATTCCAGTTAAAGTTGGGAACTTGTGCATGAAAAATAGCCAAAAACAAAACATATACAAGCAAAGAAGATGAAGAAAAACAAAATACAATGGTCCAGCAATTCAGCTTCAGCAATGCTTAAACTTTGACCACATTGCCATGTCAATAAAATCACCAATTTTTAACCTTGAGCTGTGAGGTCTGAAAAAATGATGTCTGTATGGTACTGCAGAGAAGCATTTTAAGTGACTTAGAGGGGAAGAAAATGATTGGCCAGACAAGATAGAGTAAACCATCTACAGCCTATTTCTCCATTCATTACAAATAAAAACCCTGGTAGAGTATTTCTTAAAAGCTACTTGAGTAATATGAAAAGTAAACAATAGCAGGCATATTGGGGCTGAAGTCAAAATCTAAACAACCTTGTAATGGATGAGTTTCAGAGTTTGTTTTATTTTGTTGGTCCTTTATTTGTCTCCAGCTTTGATCCAAAGTCTAATCCTGAAGCTGCACGGTGGGCTCAGACAGCAAAAACTCCAGAAGAAACCCCCTATCTCTATCCAGAAGACTAGGGAAAGGGATCTGTGAATGCGAGAAGGTGGGGGGAATCCCTGGGTTGTATTTGTTTTCTTTGGCCTCAGAGATATAGTGTTACCAAACATGGCATCTTAGGCACTTAAAACCCAAGAGAAAGCCTGTCTCTCTTGCTAGAGAAAGCAAACACTAAGGAGTATGGAGAGCATCTCCTTTATTTTCTTCTCTTAACACTCCACCATGAAGGTTGCCTTAGTTTCAAGCACTGCCCTAAAGCAAGAAGGCTAACACTGACAGAAATCTGGCTTTCTGGTCATAGGAACCAGCATGTGTGCATGGGGAAGGAAGGGTGCATAAGACTCCTGTAGGGAAAAAAAAAACAAAAGGGGAATCACCTAATTCTGTATACGATTCAACATAAATCCTAGGCTCAACCTTGAGCTGTCCACATAGAAAGCAGATTCAAAGAAGCATAACAAAGATTTAGAGAACTCAACTACAATATTAACTACTGCCCAAGTTCCAGATTAACCCCTGAGTGGTACATGAGTCAGAGTCAAATAGCATAGTAAAGACTCTGAAAATTGGACTTAGGTAACCACCACCCAAGGAAGGCAAAACAGAATGTGCAGTCAGAACCTATTGAGGCTGATTACCTGTCAAAACAAAAATCAACACCCTTAAGAGGGTTTTAACAGGACCAAGAATCCAGAACATAAGATTCAAAATACATAGGATATAATCACAATTACTCAATATACAAAGAACAGGAAATCTAATTCTTGAGAGAAATGCCAACCGCACCCCCATGACCAAGATGTTGGAATGATATGACAAAGACTTTAAAGCAGCTGTTCCAATCATTCTCTATGAGAAAAGGTAAACCCTCATCAAATAGATGAAAACATTGAAGTTCTCAGCAGAGAAATAAAAACTATAAAAAGAATCCATTTTAGAAGAGAAAATGATAATACTTGAAGTTAAAAATGTACTGGATTGGCTCAACAACAGAATAGAGATGACCAAAGGAAGGAGTAAATAACTCTGAATATAGAACAATAAAAATTATACAGTTTGAAGAACTGAGAGAAAAAAATGGAAAAAAAATTAATTCCGCTTCAGGAATCTGGGAACCAGTATCAATAGGTCTAACATTCATGTAGACCATTAAAATCCCAGAAGAAGAGGAGAAAGATACTGGTACAGAAAAAAATATACAAAGAAATCATGACAGAAAACTTTCCAAGTTTGGTAAAAGACATAAATTTATATATTCAACAATTTCAGTGAAAAACACCAAAAAAACCCATGCCTAGACACACTATAATAAAGCTAAGAACCAAAGATAGGGGGAAGAGGGCTGAAATCAGATAGATTAAAAAAACCCATGATATTATACATATAGGAATAGTGATTTAAATGAGTGAAAGGACTTGACTAAGAAGGGCAGCACAAGAGAGGTATTGTGTTTTGTTTTGTTTTGTTTTGTTTTGTTTTGTTTTGTTTTGTTTTGTTTGGAGTAATGGAACTATTCTGGAACTTGATTGTGACGGTTGTTAATAGACTCCATGTATTAGCTGAAATGCACACCAAGAGCAAATATTGCTGTGTGTATAAATAAATGAGCCAAAAACTTGGGTATCATCCCTTACTTGCTGCTCTTCCCTCATCCTCCATATCAGATTAACCACCATCTCCTGCCAAATTACTTTCTCACGATTTCTTAAATTTGCCCTTTTCCTTCCATTCCCACTGTTTCTTCCTAGTTGAGTTCTCGTCATTCCAGCCTGTTACTGCTTTAATGCCAAAGCTAACCCCTATACCCTTGCTTTGCAAAAGGCGATCTCTGCTCTAAGTGATACCAACTTTAACCCGCAAGCTTGCTAGCAATGCAGAATTTCAGATCCCACACTAGAACTCCTGAATTGGAATCACACTTTAACAGGATTCTGGAGTGATTTTATAAGGGCATTAAAATTTGAAAAGCCCTCGTGTAGGGCATCCTGGAGAGTGAAAATCTGATTATGCTGCCCCTCCACTTAACATCTCACAAAGGCGTTAAGGATATATGAGGCCTTAGATCACCTCATTCTACCTTCCTCTCCAGGCTCATCCACTGCCCACTCCACCATTTAACACTTCACTTCAGTAAGACTTAACTATCTGTACATTTCAAAACATAACAATGTTATGTCCCACCGCTACACCTTTACCCAAGCAGTTCCCAGATTAGGATACCTAATTTCCCCAAATTAGGATACCTCTTCATCTGGCTAATTCCTAACCCACCTTCAAGCCTCTGTTCAGAAGTCAATCCTAGCAATCTCTGAGGACTACCTGGGTTGAGGTGAGAGTCCCTCTGGTTTCCTAAACCAGGCAAGGCATGCTTCCATCCCTGGACTTCCCACATTTTATTGAAATTACCTGCTTATGAAAAAAAGCAGTTTATCTGTTTATGTGTCTTCCCTGGCCTGTCAGTTTCTCAAAGGCAGTGGCCTCACCTCTTCCATAGTTTTATATCTAGCATGGAGAACTAGTTATGTTCAAGAAGGTTTTGATGAACTGAACTACCATCTCTGATGCTTATAAGATTATTCGTTTCCAGTTTGGTAGTAACCAGTTCCCCCATCACACATTCTTTTCTTGAAAGAAATGATGTTAACCATCTCCTAGTTCAGAGCTTCGAGTTACTTAAAACCAACTGCATCTCAGAAGTTTAGACCCAACACTTTTTTTGCCTGTGCGAAAGGACTTAGACTCAGGCTAAAAAGGTGTATTATATTATATATATCATATCATTTTTTTTTATATCAGCCATCTACCAGAAAGCTCATTTTGTACTAAACTGGGCCGGGGGGGGGGGGGAGCGTGGTGAGGTTATTCACAAGTTCTTAGCTCAGGCCTGGCTGCCTCACAAGACTCGAATCCCTCCTGCAATGACACCTTTGGGTGCCAATGATTTCTACCCCAATCTCCGAGGGCTACTCCACCGCCAGGCCTGGAGCTAACAGGTGGTCACCTTCTCCAGGGCAGCTCCTCTTCTTCCAGGTCGCTCTCCGTCACCGACTCGTCTATCACCGTCTCATCACTGTCCCAGTCCGGGGCCTGGGAGCCTTCCTCCATCTTTGCCTCGCACCTGGAGCCTTTTTTATCCTCCTTCTCCACTCCCCGCTTCCCGAGAAAAGAAAGCGCACTCAGAGGGCCGGGGGAAATTGTGAGCAAAAAAGGAAATTCGAGGCTGGAGGCGGGAGGCGGGCCTGGAAAGAAAGGCTGAGCGCACCGAGGGGCAGCGACCGTCGTATGCGGCGAGGCCTTCCAGCTCGGCCGTCTGGCTGCACGCCGCCTACAGGGGGAGCCGCACGCCTCACGTCAGAGCCGCGTGCGGCCCCGCCCCCGACTCTGAGGGCCGGAAGTGGCTGGCAACGCGCGCGCCCGCTCTGGATTTCCCGGCCGTCTGGGGCGTGGCCTCCCACCGCATCCGCTTTCTGTGCTTTCTTTTTTTTTTTTTTTTCACCCATCTTGAGCTGGGCGGAGGGACTGCGGTTGCGGTCGTGCGGACCAGAAAGGCAGCGATGCCACAGTAAAGACCGAAGTCCGAGCCTGCCTAACGCCGTTGGCAGGAGCGAGACCTAGGTCACCTTACCCGCAATGTGCTTCATGCTTGTGAGACCCAGACCCGAAAAGAACTGTCAGCAGCTGCCCGGCCCGGCCGCCCCTGGGCTGTCAGTCTGACATTCTGAAGCCAGAATGTTACCTGACCTCGTAGAGTGTTTTTGCAGTCCACCAGGTGCTGTCTTTTTTCCTTAATCCCAGTGACACCCTCTCCCCCAGGTGTCCTCAGATAGGCAAGACAAGCATGTTTATCATTAGCTTATAGATGATCAACTATGCTAATCGACGTATTTTGTTTGTATTTGTATTTTTTCCTCATTAACTCTTTAATTGCCTTGAAATACAAGTTGTGTAGAAACAGTAGATTTTTTTTCTACATAAATTTTTAGAAAAGTGGTAGTCTTAGCAACTTTCAAAAATAGCCAATTACGATTTTTGATTGAAGAACTAGATTTTTATATATCTGATACATTGTATCAATATAACTTGAAACTTTTAAATTCAATCATTCAAAACAAAGCCAAGTGAACTCCATCTGCCAAGTGAGACGTAGATTCAGGATAAGAGAGAACCCCTTCTGCCTAGCAAGTGTTTAGTATTCACTTTGAAATCTTCATTGTCTAGCACGTATTCAGTCTTTAAAGGTTTGTTGAATAAATGGCTGGAACTAGGACTTTCTAACTCCCCAATTCACTGCTCTTTTCTCTACATGCAAAGGCTTTCCCATTCTTATTATCTTACTATTTAGATCTTATTTAAACCACTACTATTTAGATCATATTAAAACACTTGGCTGCTTGTTGTCTTTTAAACTTACTTGATTATTCTTCATTTCCACTCGGTAAATTAGGTGGGACAGTAATAAATATGCATGAAACTAGGCCTCTTTGTGTTTCTCACACCTCTCCACCTACATCCTCCATGTTTAAATCAGTCCTAAATTCCTATCCACTCTCCTGCTCACCTACTCCTTTGATCATCTAGCTCTGTTTCCACTTTTTAGGGTTTTTTTTAAGTTTATTTATTTATTTTTGAGAGAGAGAGAGCAAGGGAAGGGCAGAGAGAAAGGAGAGAGAGAATCCCAAGCAGGCTCCCACTCACAAACGGTGAATTCATGACCTGAGCCAAAATCAGGAGTTGGATGCTCAACCAACTGAACCACCTAGGCGTCCTTCTGTTTCTACTTTTTAAAAAGTGTTAATTACCAGCAATGGAAAGTGCATATCCAGTAAAAGGCTTGTGGGTGGCTCTAAATGCCCTACACCAGAAGGCAACTTTCCACTAGTAAAAGCACTTGCTCCAGGCATCTGCTAACTTTAGCTAAGTATAGAAAACTTCTAAGCCTGAGATTCAAATTCCTTTTTTTAAAATGCTTTCTCCTTTGGTGGAAAAGGGTCGGTTATTTGTGTGCCTTCAGTTCTTTTATTTTATTCAAGAGACTTGCCAAGATTCAAAGCATAAAGAAGGAGTAGCAAAGATGATTCGCATAAATGCCAGCATGATTTTATAGGAAACTTTTTTTGTTTTTTAAAATCCAAAGTTTCACTGCAGGACAGGGACAGAAGAATGACTGATCTGTGTTAGAAATCCAGGCTGCACATGACAAGAAAAGATACAATTCAAACTGATTTAAGCGGGTAAAAAGGGTGGGTTGGATCCTGTAACTGAACCATCCGTAAGTACCCAGGCATTTCAGGTGTGTTATGATCCAGATATTCAAACAATGTCGAAAGGAAATTTAACTCAGCTTCCTTTTGAATTGGTTAGTTTGAGTTAAACATTGAAATAAATTGAAACACATCAAATGTATAAAAATCCAGAACTTCCATTTAAAAATAATAATTGGTATTGGGGCACCTGCATGGCTCAGTCAGTTAAACGTCCGATTTCAGGTCAGGTCATGATCTCTCGGTCCGTGGGTAGAAGCCCCACGTTGGGCTCTGTACTGACAACTCAGTTCGGAGCATGGACCCTGCTTCAGATTCTATGTCTCCCTCTCTCTCTGACTCTCCCCACTCATGCTCTCTCTCTTTCTCTCTCAAAAATAAATAAACATAAAAAAATTTAAAAATAATAATAATAAATGGTACTTTAGAAGGTTGATAGGCACCATTTTATTATTCTAAAACAAAAGGGAGAAAATAAAGCATTTATCCTGATGTTTCTACACCATGAGTTTTTCAGGATGACCAAGAGTTTATTGGGGCAAAATTTCTTGATAGAAAAATTACAGCTAACTAATATGAGCGGCATAATAGAATTAGAAAATCACCATTTTGCAACCCATGAAACGATGTAGGCAATGCTCATCAATAGATGCAATGGTTATGCAGAACAGTAAAACAAAACAAGCAAACAAAACAAAACAAAAAAACAGAAAACTAGACCTCTGTTTTTTCACACCTGTCCACCTACATCCTCCATGTTTCAATGAGTCATAAATTCCTGGGTAAAGGGCTAATGGAGAATTTTATAATGGATGGATTAGGCTGACAACCCTTAAGTCCAATGATAATCTTTACGTCACTAAAAGTGAGATAACCAAATATTATGTACCTCCTGGCACAGTACCACAAAAATAAATGGCACTTCCTGATGAGGTATTCTAGGCACTCCCCAAAACCCCACCAAGCCTCTAGATCTATCAGTTATTTATATTCATGGAGGGGGGACAGAGGAATATGTTAACACCATGAGATGAAATTAACTAAGCCCAGGATGTGGGAAATTCTATAGGACAAATGACCTGGTTTCTTTCAATAATTAAATATCACGGAATTTTAAAAAAGGGAATGAAAACTCTTCTAGATTTAAAAGACCCTACGAAAAAGGGAAAAAAATCAAGTAGTTAAAAAAGAGAATAGATTGATTGTTAATATAAATACTAATAAAGAGGGGCGCCTGGGTGGCGCAGTCGGTTAAGCATCCGACTTCAGCCAGGTCACGATCTCGCGGTCCGTGAGTTCGAGCCCCGCGTCAGGCTCTGGGCTGATGGCTCGGAGCCTGTTTCCGATTCTGTGTCTCCCTCTCTCTCTGCCCCTCCCCCGTTCATGCTCTGTCTCTCTCTGTCCCAAAAATAAATTAAAAACGTTGAAAAAAAAATTTAAATACTAATAGAGTGAATTAGCAAAAAAAAAAAAAACCAACCCTTTTTAAATCAACGAATATTTGTAAACAATTAAACAATACAAGGTAGAATAAAATTAAATTTGATTATAGAGAAATTTGAATCACTGACAAATGGTATTATGTACTAAATTCATAAAATGAAATCAAGTAATCCTTAAGAACTATAATTAAATTTGTTGCTTGATTCCATTTAGATTGTAAGTCTTCAAAGAAAAAGTCCTGGGGCATCTGGATGGCTCAGTACGTTGAGCATCTGACTCTTGATTTCAGCTCAGGTTATGATTCCAGGGTTGTAGGATCGAACCCTGCATCGGGCTCCATGCTGAGTGTGGAGCCGGCTTAGGATTCTCTCTCTCTCCCTTTGCCCTTTTCCCCTGCTCACACACTGTTTTTTTAGAAGAAAAAGGAGGAGGAGGAAGAAGAAAGGGAGGAAGAGGAGGAGGAAAGAAAAAGTCCTGTTTGGGAATTCTTTACTTGTTTTAAAGATGAATTAAAAGGAGGAAGTCAGTTCTATCACTTCCTTCCTTTCATTAGGAAGGAAAATTCCAAAATCATACCCAATTGCATGTACGCTAACCCACAAATACTATGAGGCTCAGCGCCCTGAAGGAGGACTGAGAATAAGGGCCCTTCCCTTACTGGCCTTGCCTTCTTAATGGATGAAGCAGACACTAAACAAGTACATGAATGACTAAGATAATCCAGAGAGTGATGCATGCCTGAAAGAAATGAATAGGTTGCTGACACAGAGAATGTGATCAGAGATGGCCTCTCTGAGGAGGTGACCTTTGACCTAAGACCTAAAACATGAACATAATTGCAGAGGTTCTGAGGCAATCTAGAACAGAAGGGAGGCACGTGTGCCTGTAGCCCGTGAGTAAAGGAAGTGTGGGATGCAATGAGGCCCAAGCTCTAAGCAAGTGGAGTATGTGTGAGGTTAAGGTAATGAGATTTTTTTGAAAGTGTGGATTTTGAATAAAAAGTCTCATTGTTTTGTGCTTATACAATATATTTGCTTTTATAATTAAAATCATTTCTGCCTATAGCTGCGTATCATTTACATTCTATCCAGATTGCTTTATATCATAGAACTGTGAAAGCTGAGACTTTCATAGAAGACTTGATTTATCATAACTACAACACACCAGGAATCTCTAAAAGAGTAAGCCCAGCAGCTATTTTTTCCTAAGTAATATTCTCCCCACCCCAAAATAAAGCTATATGAAGTATTTCACCAAGTACTTTATAAGAATTTTAAAATACAGTTTCCGTAAGGATCTTCATTTACTCAAAGATTTAAACATATTTTAGGTAAGTGTTGCTGTCCACTGACCCAAGCAATTCACATGGCATTCAGCACAAATTAAAACTGTTTTATGAATGAGATATATACACAACCAGAAAAATCAGGATACCTGAGACTGTTTCTCAAAAACTGCAAAACGTGGTGGGCGCCTGGATGGCTCAGTTGGTTAAGCATCAGACTTTGACTCATATCATGATCTCATGGTTCATGGGTTCAAGGCCTGAGTTGGGCTCTGTGCTGACAGCTCAGAGCCTGGAGCCTGCTTCAGATTATGTGTGTGTGTTTGTGTGTGTGTGTGCGTGCGTGTCTCTCTGTCCCTCCCCTGCTCACACTCTGTCTCTCCTTCTCAAAAATAAATAAACGTTAAAAAAAAAACTTTAAAAAATTGTAAAATGTGGGAGCACACAAAGGCAGGCTTACACAGGATTAGATGTTGGTTCAGTACCTACATGTGTTTTTTTTTAGTGGTCACTATAGTTGATTCACTCTTATAGGGGTTAACTAACCACAAGTCCTGTAGGTATGTCCTTTCTTCATGCAGAATTTAAGATAGAAGCTCAAATTTAAATTAAAAAATTTTTTTTCGTTTATTTATTTTTGAGAGAGAGTGAGAGACAGAGAGCCCATGTGAGTGGGGGAGGGGTAGAGAGAGAGGGAGAGAGAGAATCCCAAGCAGGCTCTATACTGTCAGCACAGAGCCAGATGTGGGGCTCGAACTCGTGAACTGAGAGTCATGATCTGAGCCAAAATCAAGAGTCAGATGCTTAACCGACTGAACCACCGAGGTGCCCCAGAAGCTCATCTTTAAAATAGCATAAAATAGGGGCGCCTGGGTGGCGCAGTCGGTTAAGCGTCCGACTTCAGCCAGGTCACGATCTCGCGGTCCGTGAGTTCGAGCCCCGCGTCAGGCTCTGGGCTGATGGCTCGGAACCTGGAGCCTGTTTCCGATTCTGTGTCTCCCTCTCTCTCCACCCCTCCCCCGTTCATGCTCTGTCTCTCTCTGTCCCAAAAATAAATAAAAAACGTTGAAAAAAATAAAATAAAATAGCATAAAATAGATATGAAAATACTTCAAAAAGTTAAAAGTACCATGAAATTTAAGATAATAACCTAATAGATATTTTGTGAAATATTTTGTGATGAAAACTTTTGGAGGATAACTAATAGCTTCGATTATTCTGTTAAATGACAAAAAGGTGTATTATCTTATGAAGTCCACTAAATGGACAGAGGAACCTGAGAAACCTAATAGGTAAGAAGCTGTGACTGGTTCTGAGAGTAGAACTTAGGGACTGATCAGTGTGCACTACCAATATGTGTTCGAGAAAACAGTGTCTCTTGCAAGCCCAATAGGGGGTATGCTCAAGAAAGAATCAGCCTATTTATGTCCCGTCAAAAGGGTAATCTGGAAAGCGAACAGTCCTCAGAGAAGATGGAAGTGGACTTCTGCATTCTGAATTCTAAGGAGAGAAAAAGGGTCATCAAAATAGGATATAGACTCCCAGATCGAAGGAACTGCAAGAGAGGGATCACCAGTGGTGGGCAGGTCTCCCAAAACATTACAAAATCACTTATGATAGTGTCAGCTTTAAATAAATACTGGCGCCAGAAGAGTGAAAAGCTGGCTTAGAACAAGATCCACGCAATGCTGTGCTGGTAAATGTTTAACAACCTGCCCTCTAGCGGGGAGTGGTAGAATTGGCAGGTTTCTGTGGTGTAAATACTCCAAAAGGTGTTCTTCGCATTATTTCTTCTTTTCCTCGTTTTCCTCCTCCACTTAGTTAACCATAGACTCTGGCCCCGTAGTAAAATTTAACAGAATAATGAGGAAGTGATGAGTTTTTGGTGTTTATTGCCTTTATTTTTAAGATGTTTTATTCAATTAGAAGTTTCTATACTTTAATTTTTGATAGTGACTATATTTAATAACTTACAAATTCCTGAAAATTTAACAATTAGCTCTTGCAAACTAGTAGAAGCTGCCTCCAGTCCTTCTTTGACTCCACCGTAGTGGAGTCATCCCTGTCTTGCCCACACTCCAGTGCCAGAGGGGCCAGATCTTACAGTTAGCTGAGGGGCGAACTAGGAAAGAAAGAATCATCCCTGGAATAGGTTTTGGAAGTCTCAGTTCTCGGAAAGTCCTGCTTGGGGGAAGTGAATTAGTCCTTCATTCAACAATGTAGATATTTTAGTAGGAAGACCATGTAAAAGCTGGAGGATGGAAGGGAGGCAAGCAAGAAGGAAAACAGAAAGTTAAATGATTGTTGAGGGAGAAAGGTGACAAAACAACGATGACCACTCTACTCGGGCTTATGTTCATTGTGGCTGCATCGCCTGGGCATAAGCTTCCTCAGTCAGTGCTTGCCAACACTGGTTGACTACTACTTTTTTTTTTTTTTCCATCTTTTTTTTTTTTTAATTTTTTTTTTCAACGTTTATTTATTTTTGGGACAGAGAGAAACAGAGCATGAACAGGGGAGGGGCAGAGAGAGAGAGGGAGACACAGAATCGGAAACAGGCTCCAGGCTCTGAGCCATCAGCCCAGAGCCCGACGCGGGCTCGAACTCACGGGCCGCGAGATCGTGACCTGGCTGAAGTCGGACGCTCAACCGACTGCGCCACCCAGGCGCCCCGACTACTACTTTTTTAATGATGTAATTGGCTTGGAAAATGATGAACTAGATGTCAACTTTCACTGCCACAAAGAAGTCATGGTACTTTTCTCTGTTAGGACACACTCCCAACTGAAAAGCCAATTCCAGCTTTATAGCATTCTGTGCCTGTGCCATGACATTCAGTCTTTCTACCTAGACTGTCCTTTCTCCCTTTGCTTTGTCTGGAAAGCTGCTTAATCTTCCTTCCTCTCATTTAATGCTTTCTTCTACTGAGCCACGCCCTTCTTTTGTAATTGTCTACAGTGTGTTATTTTAAACTAACGGACACACATTCACATTTTTTCATAATACAGATGATAGGAGAAGAAACCAACACTCTACAGTCTAATTATGCTTTATCTGTCTTTAACTCTGACAGTTGTCATATATCAGGGAACAAGCCATGACTGTTTTAATAAATGGAAGCACCAGGTCAATTAAACAAAGAAAGGGTAACCTTTTTAACACAAGGTGCTAGAACAACTGGATATTCATACAGGAGAAAGTAATCAAACTTGTCCCCTACATCATTACATACACAAAAAAATAATTTGGGATAATCATAGAACAAGTGTCCTATAATCTGGTGATTCTACTTCTAGAGAAATTTCTGCACATCAGTATCAAGACAAATGTACATTACTCCTAATAACCCAAAATATAAACAAACTCTAAGGGATAATTTAAAAAGAAAATTCAGGGGGATGCTTGGGTGGCTCAGTCAGTTAAACACCCAACTCTTGATTTCAGCTCGGGTCATGATCTCCCAGTCAAGGGATCAAGCCCCACGCTTAGCGTGGAGTCTGCTTGGGGTTTTCTCCCTCCCTCTCTCTCTCTGCTCCTCCCCCACTTGTATGCTCTCTCTCTTTCTCAAAAGAAATAAATAAACATTTTTAAAAAAGAGAAAATTCAGGGTAGTGATTACGTCTCTGAGGAGGCATATGAATGGTATGGGGAAGAGTTCACAGGAAACGCAAATGAATCGGTAATGCCCTATGTCTTGAGTTGTGTAGTTCATCACAGGTGTCTATTGTTTCTATGTTTCATAGCTTCCATGAGATAGATAGCTCGGTAGATAGATAGATACACACATATATAAAATAAAATTATATATATATATACATAAAATATAGGTATGCAATATTTTATAATAAAACATAAAAGTTATATGTATATTTTCTGTATAATTAAATAAGAATTATAGTGTATATATACTATATATACAATATTTTATAGTTAAAGCAGAAAGTATAGGGAAAAATAGAAGGGAATGAAACATGCTAAAATGCTAACAGAGGGGCGCCTGGGTGGCGCAGTCGGTTAAGCGTCCGACTTCAGCCAGGTCACGATCTCGCGGTCCGTGAGTTCGAGCCCCGCGTTGGGCTCTGGGCTGATGGCTCAGAGCCTGGAGCCTGTTTCTGATTCTGTGTCTCCCTCTCTCTCTGCCCCTCCCCTGTTCATGCTCTGTCTCTCTGTGTCCCAAAAATAAATAAACGTTGAAAAAAAATAAATAAATAAATAAAATGCTAACAGATAGTCACCCTGAGTGATAGAGTAATGTAATTATTCTATGTAATTATTTTCCCCATTATAATTTTCTACATTTTACTAATTGCTTAAATGGTAATATAATACGTTTATAATAAAAAAGTAATTTTTTTGATGTCACAATATTACAATGACACAATGCTAATGCACAAATTTCAACAATGCCAACTTTGCCTTTAAATATTCAGTCCTTCTTAGTCAGGCCTATCTTTTGAGGATATACTTCCCGTTTCTGTGTTTAGGCTTCTATCCTTACTATTTCTGACAGCTCTGTGGTTGCTTTGAGCTCTAATTCAGTAACTCTGAAGGCTTGGATGAAAATGAAGATTGCTTCTTCCACAGCTCTTTAGCAACATCTAGTGGGTATTTAAAGATAGGACAAGACAAACATTTTCCTACATAAAGAGCAACAGTTTTGACGTCAAATCTGACTTAGCAAAATAAGTCTTAAGTCCTCAAGATGAAATAAGCTCTTCTGTGATTAAATAATAGATACATGGGTGTGCATGCAAGCACTTATGATAAAACAGCTGCCATCTCCTCGTCTAACCTGCTGTGAACTTAACATTTGTTACTGCATTATATAATGAGCATTATCATCAATGCATCAATTACACCAGAGACGTGTCAAAAAAAGGATGAACTTGTGGAGGATGGCATTTATAAGGAATGGAAGTTTCCAGAAATATAACCAAAGAGTAAGAAGAGTGAATAGGAGGGAAGCAATAGGGAGGAGCACAGGAAAAACAGAAAGAGTAAAGGAAGATCATGGAAGCTGAAAGGATTACAGAATCAAGATACTTGCAAGGTAAGCATTGTTCTCTTAATCAAAAGGTAGATTTCTCTTAACCCCTTAAGCCTGTTTGAGGTGCTTGCTTCCTCCAAAGAAAGGGTAACCTTTGACTTGCTGCATTACCTCTCCCACCTCACTTTCATTAAAAGTTCTGGACCTAGATGTGTCATGGGTGACCTAGATAGCTGATGAATGAGGGAAAAGAAACTCCCAACTTCAGTCTTCAGATGTAGATAAAGAAAGCACGGTTGCAACCCCTCTGGTCCTTACCAAAACTTCAGTCCTATCAAAAACAGCTCTTGGAGCACCTGGGTGGCTCAGTTGGTTAAGTGTCTGACTTCAGCTCAGGTCATGATCTAATGATTCATGAGTTCAAGCCCCACGTCGGGCTCTGTGCTGACAGCTCAGAGCCTGGAGCCTGCTTCTGATTCTATGTCTCCCTCTCTCTCTGCCCCTCCCCCACTAGTGCTCTGTCTCTTTCTCTCTCTCTTTCTCTCTCTCAAAAATAAATAAACATTAAAATTTTTTTAAAAACAAAACAAAACATCTCTCTCCCTAGAAAGCTGGCTGGTGACACGTTCCTAAAAATAATTTGCATTTTGATCTTTATAGTAGAAGAGGACAGGGAGGATCCTGTCTGGGATCTCTCTCTCCTCTCTCTCTCTGCCCCTCCCTCATCTTCAAAATAAATAAATGAACTTAAATAAAAAGGTACAGGACAAGGATGTTTCTGTGGTGCAGGTAGGAAGAAGTGAGGCGGTGTTATTTTCTGGCGTCCTAACCCTAGTTTGGGGGTACTATAGATTTAAAATAAATCTTGGGCAAGCTGAACACATTAGGAGCCTTTTGGTTTCAAGCAATAGATCCTGATAACAATGGAAGCTGAGTTTCTACTTGTTCTGGCTTAGATCTACTTGGAGACACAATAACATATGCCCCTCTATTTGGCCTTTTAAGTGAAGGGTCCTGTGATCATCAAGTGCCCCAACTCTGGACTAAATAGAGGCTTACTGAACCAATGCAGAAATGCCAAGTAGCTTTTTCATACATCAATTAAGAAAAGATGCAGAGAACAATGAGGCATTCTATCCTGGGACAAAGAGTGGTAAGAGACATTCTCTCTCCCCCTGTTCCCATGTTAAGACGTCACATGACTGAATGTAATTTTGAATCTTTGAGCAGAGGATGAAGGTGGATGACGGTATTTTTCTGAAGTCCTTTAATTGCATTCCTGGTGCCTTGTATTAAGGCAGCTTGTATGAGCTCCCTCAGTTATGACATACATGTTAGTTTTTTAGTAAAGCACTGAAAATGTGTAATTTGTTTTCATATGTCAACTAATAAGGTCTAATCACCCAGGAGAAGGGCTCAATAATTTATATTTTTAGTAAGCATCCCATAAAATTTTATAGGAAACTCTAGACTAAACGGAAAATTGCTGAAGAGAATAAGCAATATATAGTTTTTAGATTTCAACAATCATTTAGGTCAAAGTGAAGTCAGGTGTTCAAGCTGCCACTGCACCCTTCACTTGTACAGGTTGTGACATTTGTAGGTCAAATTTATTGTATAATGGCTCTGATAGGGTTATTTGTATTTGTATATTTATCTAGTGCCAGCTGATGATGAAACCCACCTTATCCACGTCGCTCCAGCTAAGAACAGCACAAAAATATTTTCAATATACTCTGCTAAGTAGTCCGGGATAAACTGGGTGAATGACACTCCTGCCTCAGTTCAAATCCCTTTTATAAATAAAACAGAGAGTCATCTGGGGTGCCTCACTACTCTATCTGCCTGTGCTGTTGCCTGAAGGATCCTAGGCCATTACTTGACATTGCCTGCCACTGTGTGGTTCCACTCCAGGTTTCTGAGGCCTTCTTGGCGCGCAGGTGTTGACCACACAGATCCACCAACTACAGAAGGCATGTCTTTGGCCTTCAGCACTTCCCCTGCTTACATTTCAGATGTTCCAGAGTAACACTGAGGTTAAAGTGGTTGAGCTCTCTTGCCCTGTCCAGGCAGGCCACCCTTCCAGCACCTCCACGTATTTACCAACCTGGAAGTTCTCTGAATCTCATCAATGAGGATTTTTATGGAGGCTTCATTACATCGGCATCACTGAGTAAATCATTGGTCATTTGTAGTTGATTTAACCACCAGCCCTTCTCTCCTCTCCTCCCTGCAGGTCAGGAGAGGGGGCTGAAAGTTCCAACCCTGTAGTCACAAGGTTGGTTCCTATGGTCAATCAGCCCTCATCCTGTTCTCATCTAGGGGATTTCCAAAATTCACCTTATTGACATAAACTCAGGCATAGTTGAAGAGGCTTGCTATGAATTACAAAAGACATTTTTACCTTACTCTGGAACTAGTTGAGGACAAAAGGCCAAATATGACAAAAGATGTTCCCATTGCTCTAATAATGTAGGAAATTATAAGGATATGGGAAGCTGTGAGATTGGTGGTTAAAGACCAAAATATATATTTCTGATTATATCACATTATCATTTCTGTCTACCAGGAATGATACAAGTTAATTATCAGAGACAACTCTAGACCTTTACCAGCCCAGAGTCTGCACAGGAATCTACATAACAAATTTTACTAGCTAGGTCTTATCTTCCATTGGCTCCCTCAATATCTACCTTCCCACAGTGTGCCATCCTAGAAACTCAAAATTTTTTTTGTCTTATCATTTCTCTAAAACTTTATAGTTCTCTTGTTAAGATGCTATGTAAACTCAAGGTCTAACCACCCTCTGAACTTCCCATCACTGAGTTCTTCCACATTTATACACAATGTTAATAAACTTCTGTGTGTTTTTCTCTTGATCATCTGTCTTTTAACGGTCTAATTAAGGGCCTCATTAAGAGACTAGGAGGGTAGAGGGGGAAATTTTGTTTCCTCCCTTACAGTATATTGATGATGCAAAGATGAACAAACCTTTTGGAATCTCGAAATGAAAGAAAGACAGTTTTATTTGAGCCCAAGTTAGGACAACTTTCTAGGAAACACAATCTTCACAGGGAAGAAAGTGCTCTAGAGAATGAACAGTTTTTATAGGTTATATACTTTTTTACATATTGTAAAATCTCAAAAAATTGTAGATTCACTTATAGGTAGGAATCATGAGTTTTAATGTCAAGGAACTCAGGAAGTAGCATCCATATCTCAAGGACAAGATGGTTTTCCTTTAGGCCACTCGTTTACAAGCTTGGTGGGCCAAATATCAGGCTTTGGTTTAAACAAACTTTAGGTACATTCATGCTGACGTAGAAAAAATTCTAAGATGGCCACTCTTATAGTCAGGCCTTTAGAGAGTTTTTCTCTCATCAGAATGAATGTGTAGACTCCTTTAAATGTGAAAATGTAATTTTTACATTCTCCCCTTTCTGCATAAGAAAAATGGAATTCAAATGTGAATTCAAACATCCTGTGAAGATTTGAGAATTAGGCCACCAGCCATACTTAGTTTCCCAGTTCTCAAGGAAAGACAGATTCATTTTTTAGTTGCTGATGATCAGGGTTCTGGGTTTCAGGGACTACCTAGAAAGAGGCAACAATTTGAAAGATAGAACCTGAGGGAAATGAAAAGAAAAGGGGAAGGATTTCCTTAAGTCTAACAAGGAAAAGTAGCAAAGTGGGGTAGGATGCTCCAATGGTATAGATATATGGTTTTGTTTACAAGGGCCACCTGTCATGCCCTTCTTAAGAACAATCTTCATTAAAATCTGTCAAGAGGGTAGATCTTATGTTAGCTGTTCTTGTCAAAAAAATAATTAATTAAAATAATAATAATAATAATAATAATAATAAAGAGAACAGAAGGAAACTTAGAGGTGATGGTTATGTTTAATGCATAAGTTGAATGGTTTCATGGGCATATAATTATCTTTAAACTCATCACATTGTATGCATTAAATATGTACAGCATCATACATGTTGGTCATACCTCAAAAACAAAAAAACAAAAAAACAGAGAACAATAATCATCATATATGAAGGCATAGGTCCCAAGTCCAATTTAAGGAATTGTTCCAATGGTCTCTGATAACACAGTAAGTGGGCAACCTCTCTATTCCTGAACCCTCAACAATGCCCAGGGCATACGGAAGTCCAAGGAAAGGTGTGGGGGGGAGGGGGTGTAGCTAGAAACATGGTTGAATGGAAATTTCTTGTATATACGTATACTTGTCAGAGAAGAATGAACTGAAAGATCCTGAAACCCACTAGGCTAAGGCAATAATAATAACAACATTTAACAGTAGGATTACTATGACCTGCTCAAAATTGATCAAAGACTACCACTGAGGTGGTAACTGAGGTATCCGTTGATCAATTAAACTGATTAGATTTTCTTTCTTTTACTGCCTTTATATTATGGAGGGAAAAAATCTCATACACCATATTTTTTGTCATTTTTATCATTAAGAAAATTTTATGACACATGATGTGTAGTTCACTGTTGAAATAATATGGTTGATGGAGATTAAATGACTAGGATGAAGGTTAATGGAGAGGAGGGATCTGGGTGCTTGGAGTTGACAATATGCTCAAAGGAAAGAGGCAAAATAGCTGGGCCATATTTTCCTCCAGGTTCAACATGAGACACCAGGGTTATCAAGGAGGTGGGAACCCAGAACAAAAGCCTCTTGGGAGGTCAGGGGGGTGCCTGGGTGGCTCAGTTGGTTAAGCATCCAACTTTTGCTCAGGTCATGATCTCACAGTTTGTGAATTCAAGACCCCCATCAGGCTCTCTGCTGTCAGCACAGAGCCTGCTTAGGATCCTCTGTCCCCCAATATCCCTGCCCCTCTCCTACTCACACACACATTCTCTCTCTCTCTGAAAAATAAATAAGCAGGAAAAAAAAAAAGCACTGTCTTGGGGGAAAAATATCAAACATCAGGCTGAAATGTCTCAGAAAAGAGGAGAAAAGACTTCCTCTAATGAACGTGAAACAACAAAAAGTAAGAGAAAGAAAGTCGTAACACAAATAAGCATGGAGTTGAAACTACTAAGGACCAAGTACTTGCTCCTTTGCTCCAAACTCAAACAAAAATGACCTAAGAAACAAAGAACTAACAGAGTTCCTGAGATAGATTATCTTTCACCTGAAATCCAAGAGTCAAAGAGAATACTGAGCAGGTCAAAGCTTCAGAGAGTAAAGGGCTGCTTTGGGAGCCCAAAGGCCCCATTGCTCCTGCTAGAAATGGGTGGCCTCAGGAAGTCACAGGGCAGTGGAAGAGACACAATCATTTTTTACTTCTCAGACCATTGTTTTGCAAACTCCAGTTTACAAAATTGTTTTAAACGTAAATGAAGCTCTGATATTACTTGTCCAAGTCTCCTGATGTGTTTTTAGACTTGATTTTAGACTTGAGAGATAGTTAGCAGTACAGCATAGCATCTCAAAGCCTGTAATATGAACTGTTTTAGGTAGGATCAAAAATCACCTCGGGCATCTGTCCAATCCTAGTAGTTTTTTCTGTTGACTTCTTTAAAGTGTGTTATTTAGTAAAGTAATACACAACAAAAGGAGAAAATTATAACACAAATAATCATGCTGTCAAACAGGGTACTTCCTGTCCTAGATCTCCAGAGTAAGGTTCTTTGGCATTTATTCAGGCCGATATTTGCCTCTATGGCTGCCTACTCCCACTCTGGTTCTAAGGGAAAAAGTGTGAAGTGTTGTATTAAACCATGGACTTTACTCCTTTGGGTCTCAGTTTCCTCATCTATAAATTAGATGTGAAAACGCATCCCTGGCTACCTCACAAAATGGGTGTGAGAATTAAAAGGAGATAAATTTTACATTGTGACTTGAGGGAGCCCAATTAAAGGTATCACTGTTTTCCTTAGTCATGTTATGAATAAAGAATAAGATGAAATAATCTGTCACATAGAAAACCACAATACCACATTTATTAGTGATAAAGCTAATATTGAAAGAATGGCTTATATTTGCAAGTAAATAGAATTCCAAATATAGAACCCAAGAATTAAAAGAACTTACCCACCCAGGACTGGAATACTACAGTACCCCTCCATGTTCCCCCTTCCCCCCTCCCAGTAAACACATGGAGTGGAGGAAAAGGACAATTTATGGTTCTAGTGGGTGGCTTTCTCCGAAGAGGAAGAAGGTATAGTTTAGATGAACATGGCAAGTTTACACTTACCAATCCTACCAATCTATTTGCTCATCCCTGTTTTTCTCCTCAGGAAAATCAAAACAAGGGACAGAAAGGACCCCTAGTGTCATACAAATAAAGATATCTTTATATGGAAGGGCACATCAGGAACAGAAAAAAAGCATTTCCTTCACCATCTCAACCAATTGATCTTATCATTCCCCCCCCACACACACACACATATTAATTATAAAGGTGTTAGAATATGGAATAAAAACACGAAGGAGTATTAAAGAAAAATGGAAGCCAAAACACAGTAATCTAAATTTCTAATTTTCCCTTATGAGGAAATGGTAATTAAGACAGGGTCAACTACCTGGGATTATTCTATTATCTCATTTATTTATTTGGATAGGTTATTATTGGGCATTGTGGAATGAAGGACTCTAAGAAAAGGGAACTATTTGAATGTTAAAGAGATGTGGCTTCATTTTACACACCAAATTAGTGAAACAGAGCCTCTGTTACAATTGCAAAAACAGCCTCATTATTTGCAACTATATTACATAAAGGATGTG